GAAAGCGCTATAACACCGAGTAAAACGCATTTTGTCGAAAATCAGCGATAAGACGTCAGTTGTCTAGTACATATGTTGCTATTAGAGGTCACTGGTCATACCAGGTCAGGTCACAGGTCAGGTCACCAAAGGTCACCAAGGGTCACCACATGAACCCAACTTTACTAAGGTTGTGCGATGCATGTTTTATGGCCAGTTTTTCATTTCCAACCCAATGGTGTTGGTTATAAGACCATCAGGTACGGTTTAGGTCACTTTCTGGTGGAGGTCAGGTCAAGGTCAGGTCAAAAAAGGTCAAATTTCAAAGTTGATATTTTTGCATAAAAAGGGTATCGATTCGATGCAGCTCGTCACGAGGAGTCTAATGGTGGTCTTTGTTTTGCACTACGAGGTCTAGAATTGCTAAAAATTGAGTTTGAAAATTTGACGTCATCAATTTTGAACAGTTTTTTCGCTATAACTTCGCCAAAAAAAGAGGTATCAATCTAAAATCTGGTTTGTGGATGGAAGGCGGTAAGGACTATCACATATATTCTGGTTTTTGCGAAATTCAAAAAACTTTTTGGATTTTTTGACTATTATATCCCAAAAATCTATTTTTTGATTTTTGGGGGTCAAAATAAAAAATTAAGAATCCGAGATAGCAGTTTTGTAGCCCTTTTAATTCTACAGCTTTTATGTCCTAAACATTTTTCTGTATTTGCAAAGCTATAGGCCTGACAGCTCTTCCCGCGAAACCCTTTTTTGGGTCGAAAACGGCAGAACATGACGTCACTCTGACGTCATTTCCGGCCAACCTATCATAGCTTTCGGAAAAATTTTTGGTCACAATGTGTAAAATTGATGTCCGGGAGGGTACTGAAAGTTTGGTGACGATCGGCGCAGCGGTTCTGGAGATATATCGAAAAGTCTGGAGGGGGGGGGGCAAAAAATAGCCCCCCCACCAGGTCGCGGGTTATGAGTCCCACAACTTGTATATCTCGGATTTTTCCTAAAGGTCATATGAGGTCAGGTCATTTTCGTGACCTCACCATTATAAGTCAATGGGGAAAAATGAAAACTGCTATTCTGGCGCCGGGAGCGATCTCCAACTATCTCAAGCACACAGAATCGTGATTTTATGCACTCCTTGCAAGGTTAGATGCGTCACTTTTTCAATGTTGACCTTGCGTGACGTCATTTATGACGTCATCAAGGTCATATTAGTTTTTCGTCAATAACTCTTGATCAAATTGAGCTAGCGAGTCGGGAAAGCCACCAATGGACTCAGGAAGACCTGCCGAATCTATTGATATGCGACATGACCTCTTTCGACCAACTTTGTGACCTGGGGGTGCTGACCTGACCTTGACCTGAGGTCAACACCCCAAGTTGACCTGACCCGGACAAAAATTATATCATTCGACGCGCCTGAGCGAGACGAACACGATGCTGCCAAAATCGGCGCTCTGCGGCCGTTTTTTGCGAAGTTATTCACCAAAAACTGAACCGTACCTTGGGGCACTTGACCTGACCTCAGAGGTCACCGGTTGACCTAGGACCTTAAAATCGGGTACTAATCTCTGCGTCTCGTAACGGCGCACACGCTCGTTTTTTCCGCGACGCGCTAGCTCCACCAGGGGCGAAACGGCGAGGGGGGGGGGGGTCGTACCCGCCCCCCCCCCCCCTCGGCCGGCGCGTATGTAGAAAACCAATAGGTCCGGCGAGGGTTAACTCTATAGTGCTGCGCACAAAAGCTTCAACAATACATCATGGATGTTTTCAATGAAATGAGTGTTTTAATTTACCCTCGCCCCGTTGGGGGGGGGGGGGGCATTTTGGCCCCCCTGTGGTTTGTCCTGAATAGCAAGAAAACGGCGGCACACAGCGCCGCTAAATTTTTCAGTACCTTCCCGGGCATCAATTTGACACCTTCACACCAAATTTTAACCCGCGCGGGGCTGGGGGGGTAAATTTTACAACCCCTCGCGAATTTTTGCAATATCTCAAAAACGGCGGCGCCCAGCGCCGCCAAACTTTCAGTACCTTTTCTTACATCAATTTGACACGTTCCCTGAAAATTTGAGCGAAATCCGTCGGAAAATTGTTGAGAAATTGACGTTTTAGTGACGTCATGTTCGCCATTTTCGCCTCAAAAACGGCAAAAGTTCAAACGCCGCTAACATCTTCATTTTTAAAGGAATCAAGACGTAACAAAAAAGGATATACGTAATTTTACTTTGTCTATCAAATGGCTATCTCGGTTTTTTGAAAATTTTGGATTTTGGCCCAAATTTTTTTATTCAAAAAACTGACTTTTTTGGGAAAATAGCTATAAAATCCAAAATTTTGAGTGTATCGAAAAAACGAAGTGGTCTATGTAAACCTACATACCAAGTTTTAGAAGAATCGGTTCAAACATGTGGGAGTTATTCAAAATTGTATGACGTCACGACACACAAAATTTTGAAAAATGACTTTTTTTTGGAAATTCTAGACCTCGTACGGAAACAAAAATAGCACCATTCGATTCGCCGTGAAAAACTGCATCAGATAGACACCTTTTTAGGCCTTAACAACCAACTTCAAAATTTGACCTCACTTGACCTGACCTTGACCTGACCTCGACCTGAAATTCATCCAGAGGTGGTCCATATCACTTATTGAGTGTGCCTATTGAATTCTATGAGTAAAATGACCCATAAAACATGTGTCGCACATGCCCTTTTCTATATTTTGTTTTTGGTGACCTGACCTGACCTGACCTGACCTTGACCTTGACCTCTGAATGATATTGTATGCAACGAATATTGTCTTGGTAGCCTAAGAACACGTTTTGGGCGATCAGTCTCAGTCCATGACTCCATTCTTCGGCAACTACGGTGCAAGGCCGATACTGTAGGAACTTGCAATTTGTACCCTTGACCTGACCTTGACCTTGACCTCAAACTTAAAATTAAGTACATGTTTTTAGTTGTTCGTGATTATATCTTTCGATTGGCGTTTGAATTTTCCAAATCAGACCATTAGTTCGCGAGATAACAGGGGGGGGGGTAAAATTTACCCCCCCAGCCCCGCGCGTTCGGCTGGAGACCCCAGCCCCGCGCGGGTTAAGTCTTAGGTCACCTTAGGTCAGGAGTTATTGAGGTCAAACTGAGGTCATGTTCGAGCAAAAATGAGCAAAAAACATGCAATCTTGAAACGCTCACCAAATCTACAGTTAACAAGCAATTTCAACGTTCTTTATATCGTCTAGTAGAAAAAAGCGGCGCTACAAAACTGCGATCTTGGATTTTTAAAATTTAGGGTTTTTGACCAAAAAAAAATCAAAAAATTGATTTTTTTTCAAAAACTAAAAAAACTTCCGAATTTCGAAAAAAAAAAAACGGAATATATGTGATAGTCCCTGCACTCTTCTATATACATACCAAATTTCAGATCGATATCTCGTTTTTTGGCCAAGTTATAGAGAAAAAACTGTTCAAAAATGATTACGTCAAATTTTCGAACTCAATTTTTAGCGATTCTAGGCCACGTACGGCAAAACAAAGACCACCATTGAACTCCCCGTGACGAGTGGCATCGGTTCAAAACCCATTTTACGCAAAAATATCAACTTTGAAATTTGACCTAATTTGACCTGACCTTGACCTGACCTTGACCTGACTTTGACCAAAACGTGACCTAAGCTGGCCCCAAAGGCTGCCTGACCCACATAATCGCATTTGTCATGTAAAATGGACCATAAAACATGTATCACACGACACTTTCATATTGTGACCCCCCAGTGACCTGACCTCTGTGACCTGACCTGGTATCAGTGACCTCAGATAGCAAAATATGTGTTTGAAGAACATTTCCTCATCGATGATTTTGAATGAAATGCATTTTACTCGATTTTACAACGCAATTCTTGAAATGTCTGTACACGGTGAAAATTCGACCTTTGACCTGACCTGTGACGTCATCGGTTTGACCTAGGTCAATAAAATTGGGTCACAAGGTAGTTCCCTGATAGGGCTATCCAACACCGTTTGCCGCTTGTCGCTAGGTTGCGTGGTTCTTGAGATCTTGGGGGGGGGGCAAAATGTCCCCCCAACAGGGCGCGTTGCTCGGCAGAGCCCAACGGTGCGCGGGTTAAAAAAATCAAAATAAAAGATTATCGACTGAACACAAATTCACCAGACTTCAATGGTGGTGTGTAGTGGGAAAGGCAATTCTGGTCCTAATTTTTCTCGCTCGTAGCGCTATTGGTTTGTTCTGCAGAAGGGGTGCCCGTCTTACCTACCCTGACTGTCTTACCCCACTTTCCCCTATATTCCGAACTAGGCATATTTTATTGATGTCAATTGATCAATCTGACAGCTTTTGAAAACTTTTCACATAAGTATTTTTTTCAGCTCTTATGTGTAGCTAATTATTTCAATTTTGTATCCTTATAAATTTTGTAACGTAAATATCATGTCCAATACAGGCCCAAACCATTGACCAGCACCATTCACCACACGACTTGTCATCCTACGGCTTACCATGGCTTATGGCTTCCGTCTTACCTTAGGATGAGGCAGCATTACCTGCAGTACATGTAATATGTGTTGTATCCAGTTATTCTTGGTTTGATTTAGGCTTCAGATTTTCAGAGATAAACTGCTTCTCCACGTTATTTATGAACATTTGCAAAAAAAAAACAGTTCCTTAGAGCAAAAATAACAAGCAAGTGCCTGTGCCGCCGGCCTGTTTTCTTGTTTTTCGTGTCTTCGTATAGCCCCCCTGCCCGTTCAGGAGCGCCCGGCAGCGCCACCTGCACCTGACCAGTCCGGCAGCGTTTGGGGTCGCCGCGCACCGCCGGCAATCAGCTGACGCGCCCGGCAGCGCGTCTCAAGGTCACTGGAGGTCAGCCGGGCCGCGGCCCGCCGGGGTGGCCGTGACGTCACAGCCAGCGAACGTTGAGCGCCGGAACAGCTACTGTTGTTTATCCCTTCCTAGCCATTCATATATGAGTAACTTCAACCGCTGCTCACCATCCGTGACTAGTAGCGTAATCCGAGACCCCAGCTCCGTGGCCAGGTGGCTGATGGTGTCGGCAGCCACCCCCTGGAGAGATACCGACAGACCACTCCCGTACCGTCCCGGCCACCTCGGCTTCGTCACCTCCGGCCCTGTCGGACAGAGCTGTGTCAGCTGACAGCTGTCGGACGGAGCTGCTGCCGGGTCGGGAGGCGGCTGACACTGTGGTGTCAAACCCTGACACAGACGACACTGACAAAGCCAGGGTCGATCGGCACTGTTGGACAGTAATTGAACATTGTGCACAATGCATGCACTATAATGCGTTTCCTCAACATATTCTTACCGGCAACGTATAGCGTCCTCAGTGACGTCGGCAGCAGCCGCAGCCACCGCCCCGTTCCGAAGGACGGGACCCTGACGGTCAGCTCCTCCAAGCGAGGAAGACTCTGCAGAAGCGCCGTCAGCTGGTCCTCGCCAAGGGCTGACGGAGCGTCGAACGTCGTCACGGTCCTTAGCGCCTCTCTCAGCACTGTGGTATCACTGTCTGCCGGTGGCTGGGGCTCCGTCTGTACCGTGACGTCACTGACTGCCGATGGCTGGGGCTCCGTCTGTACTATGACGTCACTGACTGCCGATGGCTGGGGCTCCGTCTGTACTGTGACGTCATTCGCCTGTTTTCTAGCCCTACTGAAAAGAAAAAAAAAATAAAGTCTATTAATCCACTGATCAGGCATTGCAATTCCGCATTTATTGTCGGCTCATTTGATATTTCGATATACATCTCCATATCATCTTCGTCAGTAATGGTATCGTCGAATCTACTCGGTTGTATAAAAAAATCAGAGTTGATTTGATACGACTCTGAACGATTTGATACGACCGATTAGATTTTGTGACACGATTGCTGATGAAAACATGTAAATACGTGCGAGATATGATGTCCCGAACTGGCCAACTTTATGCAGGACGTCTGTCGAAAACTTGAACAATACGATCGAGACTAAACGGTTAACTTGCAAAAGATGGTACGAATTCAAGGCATGTTTCTTTGATTGGGCGGAAATTACAATTACAAGTTACTCGACCTTCAATGACCTAGTGGAGTTTTATTTCTTACACTTTCTACCTACAAAGAAAGTTTACTTTTCACCATGACAGCCCTCCGAAATCTCTCAGCCCCCACAGCCACCTCTGCTGCCTCCCAGTCTCACCCCTGGGGACGGCCGGATGGCGCCGCTCGCCGGCGGACCTCCTGCCGCAGATCCTCCACCACGGTCTGGCGAGTGGTCCGCTCCTCGATAACTGCCTGCTCCAGGCGGACCACCGCACCGGCCACCACTTTGCTCAGTGAGGCCATCTCCCGGCGAAGGGCGGCCAGGTCTTCACGCACATCTGTCATCTCCATCTGGAACGCAGAATTATAGATTTTGTTACGTTTCTACTCATCATAAATCAGTGGCCTAGTACGTAGTGTTTCGTCGTACGCATTACGACATGTCTTGCAGCTTTGTGTCTTATCACGTCACAAAACGACGTGTTATATCGTATTATGACATGTTTTGTCATGCAAACCGTATTGTTGCATACCAGGCAGGCAAGCTTGGCAGTCAGGCAGACAGGTCTTATGTAGGTAACCAATATAGAAATTGACTATCGTTACTAGTTTTTCGCAAAAAAAGAGATAATAAAAAACGTTATCACTTCGAAAGTCTACCCCTGGCCAGGCCTTTTTCATAACGCGGACGGTGAGGGGCCGGTTCGCGAGTTTCCTAAGTGTGGAACTATTCATACCGTCGCCCGTTCGAGTGACGTCATCAGTTGGCGCTGGCGGCTAGGTGCATGGATTGGCGGGTCCTTAAGTTGGCGAAGAGGCGGAGCCAGTTTCCTGCGTAAATATTTAGCCAGTCTTAATTTTAGCGAGTTCCCTAGTTAGGGAAAAAGCAACTTGTTCTACGTGAATATATAACCGGTGTTATTTCAGTTGTCGTTCGTGCATTCGCCCACCTTGGAAGCATATCTCCTACGAGGTGCTTGAGTTTTGACGGTGGGGTTTGTGCACTGCGTTTCGCTTCAGCATTGAGTAAATGTCTTCAGTAGGTATTACCAGTGGCGGATCCAGGGGGAGCAAAATGGGCATTTGCCCCCCCCCCCCCAAACGGCATGATTTTAACATTACGCCTATGGACGATGCATGGAAAGAATCGATAAATTGTTATGGTTTGCCCCCCCCCCCCCCAAAAAAAAAACTCTGAGCTGGATCCGCCTCTGAGTATTAGGGGAAGGTGGGGTAAGACGGACCAGCTAAGGTTTGAGGCCGCATATCTTTCTACACTGCTGTCGTAACTCATATTGTTTATAGTCTTCTGAATGCTCAATCCTTCCTCTTTTGATATGTGCAAAGACTGAATTTCAAAATAAAGACATCTAGGTGGTGGATGGTCTTAAAGGGGGACATGACGAAAACTCAGACAAGAAAAAACGCGGGGTAAGACGGACCACCCAGCAGTGCCTGCTATCCATTCATGCTTGGTACAGTTCTAATCTGTACTCGAGTAAGTAGAGTGGTAAAATAACAAAATAAACCTTTATTCTATACTCATATGTTATGGAAGTGCAACTAAAAGCTGGGAACATGTGTGTTGATTGTCGTTTGGCATGAATGCACGCTAGCTGAGCATTTGCAATGGTCCATGTGCAACAAAGACTCCTTCCTGAAGAATTGGCTTACTTAAACTTGTGTCACTGCTTTAGAAAATAATTTTCCATATGATGGGTACAATGGACCACCGCAGGGTAAGATGGACCACAGTGGTCCGTCTTGCCCCAAATCTAAATTCTGTCATTATCATGACGTGTACCTATGTCAAATAGCCCAACATTGCGAAACCTTGCCTGTTCTTAAGTGTGACTATAACCAAGTTTATAACTTTGTTCTTCACCGTAAAGTGCAAAATAGAAGCAAATCATGCAATAAAGGCGCCGAAATTGAATCACCCGTAGACCTTTTATATTAGATCGGTTTGACGAAAAACAACACTTTTCTCAATAACTCAAACGCTATGCATCCTAGCCTCATGAGCTCAAGGTGGCCATTGTTACGAAGGGAAACAAAGGTAGTGAGTGCATAAAGCAGTAGATAACAGCAGCGGTTCAGCCGGGAGGGCTGGTGGTCCGTCTTGCCCCGCTGGGCCGTCTTACCCCACCTTCCCCTACGGCTGGTGATACTGCCTGTCGGCGTTGAATGATGTTTGACACCAAAAGGACACAGATTAGCAGGTAGTGCGGATTTATTATTAGCAGATTTATTAGCGAGATTATTAGCGGATTTATTATTTATTATTTTATTAGCAGGTAGTGCGGATCTATAGTGCGGATAGTGAGTGACGCCATCTGGACCGATGCTGGAGATGGTAGCGCCACCTGCCGCCACTTAACTGCTCGCTACTTGTAACAGTGCCTGGCTGGTGCTGTGTGCTGATTGTTTGAAGCGTAGTACCTCATGACGCACATATATATAAGGTCACTTTGCAAAATTTGAGGAGCATGGACGAATTAATTTGTGAGACATTGACGCCTTAGTAATACGTAATTGTTCCCAACACAAGCTACGTACCTATTAGATTTCAATGTATTGCTCAACTTCCCATAATAACACCAGGGGCGCTAGTGCCGCGCGCCGCTAGCCTATAATCGTGCAGCGATTGGTCGGCCGACTGTGAGCCATGACGTCACAGCCTGTAACGTCATCTTGGCGAAGCTTACGCCAATCAGAGACCTTAGGTATGGGCAGTTCCACACTTAGGAAACTCGCGGCCGGTTCGACCTTTGGCGATTAGCTCCTGACCTGATGCACTTAGAAACACCAGATGTATAGGGTAGGTGAACTCAGACGACATCTCGCCCCTGTTCAAATTTAGTGACTGACACGTCACACAGACAGTCACACAGACAGTCACACAGACAGTCACACAGACAGTCACACAGACAGTCACGCAGACAGTCACACAGCAGGACTGACACAGTCACACAGTCACACAGACAGTCACACAGACAGTCACACAGACAGTCACACAGACAGAGTCACACACACACTCACACATACAGTCACACAGACAGTCACACAGACAGTCACACAGATCGTCACACATACCGTCACACAGACAGTCACACATACCGTCACACAGACAGTCACACAGTCAGTCACACAGACAGTCACACAGACAGTCACACAGACAGTCACACAGACAGTCACACAGACAGTCACACAAGACAGTCACACATACAGTCGCACAGACAGTCACACAGACAGTCACCAGACATTCACACAGACAGTAACACAGACAGTCACACAGACAGTCACACAGACAGTCACACAGACAGTCATACAGACAGTCACACAGACAGTCACACAGACAGTCACACACACAGTCACACAGACAGTCACACAGACAGTCACACAGACAGTCACACAGACAGTCACACAGACAGTCACACAGCAGGACCTCGGCTAAGGAATTTCGACTGGACAGATGGGGACAAACCCGACTCCACAATGTCATATACCACCTAATATACACCGTATAAGCGGACCTTTACACCACACCTAACATACATACCAATACCGTAGGTAAAGGTATACCAAAATCCTGCCTAATCAGAGCATCCGTAAACATGTCTACACAAACTTCTACCAAAGGTTTCGAGGCCAGCCTAGGGCCCTCAGAAGCCGAAGTCGAGCCGTCGGAGGCTAGTGGTCATTAAGAGTCCGCTTTGGGACCTTCGTGGGGCCCAAAGAATCCAGTGCGTAGCCCTTTTAGACCAGCGTGGGGTAATATAAGGGCAGCGTGGCTTCCTCTAAGACCAGCGGCGTGGGGTCTTCTGAGGCCAGATTGGGGCCCAATGCTCGGGGTTACATGAGCAGAGTTAATACGCATTACAAACGGACTACAATGGTGAGCGAATAGGAAAATCCGTTCCTGATACGCATTTACTTGCTCATGTAACCCCGGAATGAGAACAGCTCAGCTTGGGGCTATCTAAGGACAATGTAGGCCCTCTTAGGTTAACGTGGGGCCCCCTGTCCTCTGAAGTTTAAGGTTGGAGCTGGGACCTCAGAGGCTGGCGTTGGGCCATCAGAGGCCACCTCGAGGGCCTCGACGGTCAGACTGTAGCCCTTATGCATGTTTAACCCACGAGCCGCTGGGGGGGGGGGGGCATAAAGTTGCCCCCTTACGTCTTGCGGAATATCTCCGTAACCTGATAAGCTACGAACGTGAAACTCAAGGTAGCATCAAATGAATACCTAGGCAATATTTGAGCAAAATTTGGTGGCTGTAGCACTTAAGATGACGTCACAGTGACGTCATAAAATATTGTCGTTTTTTGATACGGACCGTTTCTGATGTCGCTGAGCATGAAACTCAACTGTAAATGAACTAGACAGCACCTGCTGTCATCCTGAAACACCTAAATGCACACTCATCTAGTTCCTGACCAATAATCGGCCCTTTATATACGGTCCCATATATCTGATATATCGTGAGGAAACTGAGAGTCGCAAATCTATAATTTTACCTGAGATCGACACCAAATTTGGACACAACCTCGGCTAGGTATTCAGGAAGATATGTGCTTCTCTATCTCGTCGCGTTGTAATGATATCGTCGCAGAAGTAAAGGGGGACAACTATATGCCCCCCCCCCCACCGGCCGGCGGGTGACGCGGAGGCCCAGTGGCCGCCGGGTTCTTTAAACATGGATTACACGACACTTTCATATTGTGGTCCTCAGTGACCTGACCTCTGTTACCTGACCTGGTATCAGTGACCTCAAATAGCAAAATATGTGTTCCACGAGCAATTCTTGCGCCCCTTCGGGGCGCGGGTTAAAAAAAATCAGTTTTTTATTTTGTTTTACATTTTAGGGGATTATTTCAAAAGTCACTTATTTAATTTGGGGTTCAAAATCAAAACAAATATATAACAAACAAGATAGCAGTTTTGTAGCGCTGCTCGTTTTATATCTTTTTGTTTTTCAACATTTTCCTTTATCTAAAACTTTGGTCTTGACAGCTCCTCCCATCAAACCTCTTTTGGGTCGGAAATGCCTGAACGTGACGTCACTCTGACGTCATTTGCGGCCAACCTATCATAGACTGTGGAAGAAAAGGTAACGAGGTGTACATAAAACCGATTTACAAGAGGGTTCTGAAATTTTCGCGGCGATCGGCGCATTAATTTGGGAGATAGTGCGAAACGACTGGAACGGGGGGTGGCATAAAACACCCCCAAACAGGGCGCGGGTTAAAAAAATTCCACTGGGTCCTCTAAAGTAAAGGTAACCTCAGGATTGTGGATACGCCGCTGGATGTTCTCTACGATATTAGACTAAGAGCAGTGTAAACACGGGCGACAAAATATGAAAAGGAATTAGGATCGATTGACTTTCACATTGGGTTTGACAGCTTGGAGAATATTTATTTGAAGCGCATTATATTCACTCCGACAGGATGGGCAAAATCTCGTCACTGCCGGGGCAACTGGCAGCCACTGCGGGACATTTGCCCCCTCCCCAGTAGCGGGGAACACCTTCAATTAAGGTGGGGGGGGGGGGGCATTGCCGACTTTTGGTCCCATTCTTTCCATGCAACGCCCATAGGGCTTATGTTAACCCGCGCCGTGCTGGGGGGGGGCGTTTTTACGCCCCCCCTCAGGTTTTTCGCGAATATCTCAAAAACGGCGGCGCGCAGCGCCGCCGTTTTTGGTACACGTGTTCCTACATCATTTCCGCACATGTTGTGAAAATTTCAGACCTAGGCCGTTCAAGGTCAGGTCACCAGGTCACGTCAAGTGACCTTACCTCAGAAAAAGTTCAAAGGCTCGCTATAGCTACACCGACTGAACGATCACTTTGAAACTTTCAGCGATTGATATGAGTAACAGTATGTATAAAATGTATATCTCGGATTTTTGATATCTGTGACCTAAGGTCAGGTCAATTTTGCGACCTCTCCATTATAAGTCAATGGGAGAAAATTGAAATGCGCCTCTTTTGGACGAATATCGTTCAAAACGCTCTCAAACATCGGTTCATAGGTAAACATGACACACTGAATAGGAAAAATGCACCTGTGACCCCTCTGTGTGCCCCTGAGGTCATCTCAGGTCATGAACGGTCGCCAGCAGTTTTTTGGCTTTAACTTTTGATAGAGACGTGCTAGAGCGGTGAAAACACGTCAGATGTGTTCAGCTCGACGATACGGATCGACTGATATGCAACATGACCCTTTTCGGTCAGGTCATGACCTTGACCTGAGGTCAAATTTTCAAAATGACCTTTCAAGGTCAACAAATAGTTCATTCGACGCGTCTCGACGAGAGGAACACGATGCTGGCAAAAGTAATGTCATGGCGCTTATGAGTCAAAAGTTATTGACGAAAAAACGTTTTTCGTAAAAACGGCTATTTTTGGAGTTTTTGCCCTCTGGAGGCTAAACCGTTGACCTGAGGTCAAATCTGAGAACATTACTCAGAAAGGTCTGTAAAAGGGCTATCGAATGCGCTTTTCCGCGGCGCTGTAGCTCTATCGGTTCCCGAGATAGCCGTTGGCAGTTTCCAAAATGTTGAAATAGTCAACATTTTACCTTTGGTGACCTCTGGTGACCTGACCTTTGACCTGACCCAAAAAATGACCGAAGTGTTTTCGTCCTTATTTTTGACGCTCTTTCGATTGCCGCTTACCGCGTGTCGCTACGTGGCCCAGGAGCCGAGTTAGACGGGGGGGCGTGAAAACGCCCCCCCCCCCCCCCAGCACTCGGCGGAAAGTTCAGGCCACCAGCACGGCGCGGGTTAAAATGCCGAAATCGAGGGGACACGGTTCCCCGGTGCACCCCCCCCCCGTTCCGCCACCTATGCCCTCTTCCCCGTTAATTCATGTAAGCACAGACATCCAAACACCCAGACGGGTACCTAGCACACAGAGAAGACACACAAAGACTCACAGAATCACATACACACCGTTACACAAACACATGTAGTCTGACTATAGACACAGACGCACAAAACACACTCAGACAACAGACACAGGGACACACAGACCCCCCCCCCCCCCCACACACACACACACAGGTCGGTCCTGCTCACCTGATATTCGCCGCCTCCGCCGTGGTCGGCTCCGGTGGACAGAGCTCAGTACCGTCCACACACAGTTGGACCACCCGCTCTGTCGACTGAACCGGCCGGTGGACGCAGTGCAGCTCGTGCCCCTCCGGCTCCTCCGTCGGCCCTTTGTCCCCGTCTGGAAGTGCGCCGGACATCAACACCGCCAGTCGGTGTGTCGGCAGAATCGATCGTGTTCAGTGAGTCGGCGGCGCGGTGTCCTGGCCTGATGACGTCAGTGGGGGGTCACCAGGGTTACAGGGACAACACGGGCCGCCGGTCGATGTGCAGCAGTCCTCCCCCCACCCCTCCCCTTCCCTTCCCCAATCCCCGGGACAACTCTGCAACTCGGCAAAACAAAACATAGTGACGAGCAGACATGTGCACTGTGCAGGGATGGAATCTATGATTCCATCCCCGGAATCTAGGATCTATGATTTCATTGGATATCTCGACAAATTGAGGGGTTCGGACCTACATCTCATCCCTCGCCCGGTCAGGGGTTGGGGAGGGGGAGATTGATCAAACCCTCGCCCACACATGGGGGGGGGGTGGTTGCCACCCCCGCCCTCCCAGGTATTCTTTCTGCTCTGCACTCAACATTGTTTGAGCTAGAAGTCTGATTTTTCGTATAGTTGCTCCTCTATACTTTCTTGATATCCACTATAAATTTAACCCGCGCCCTGGTGTGGGTCTGAGCCACCTTCGCCCTGGTGGGGGGGGGGGGCCAAAATGACCCCCCCGTCTAACTCGAAAACGAAGAGGGCTAGGAAGACGCGGAAAAAAGCAAACGAAAGCCCATAACAAGTACGTTCGAAAGTATTTCGGTCATTTTTTCGCTAAGGTCAATATTGAGGTCGCTAGAGGTCATCATAGGTCAAATTTCAGTGTTTTCGGTGTTGCCGGACATATTCCGCTGTAGCTCGGAAACTAGAAGAGCTAGAGAGCCGCGGAAAAAAGCAATCGATAGCTCTTTTCAAGCTCTTTCGCCAAGGTTCGTCAGATTTGACCTCAGCTCAACGGTTTGGCCTACAGAGGTCATGCAAGGTCAACTTGGCAAATTTCGTTGAAAATGTTTTTAACTATAGCATGCATTCACGAGAAAATAGAGAAACGATTCATGCACCATCGTGCTTGGCTCGTCGAGACGCGTCGAATGATATATAGTTTGACCTCGAAAGGTCATTTTGAAAATTTGACCTCAGGTCAAGGTCATGACCTTACCGAAATAGGTCATGCTGCATATCATTCGATCCGCATTGACGAGACAAACACGATAAACGTCGAACGGAGTCTCTATCTCTATTCAATAACAAGTAAGTGCAGAAAAACCGCTGGTGACCTCTGGTGACCAGGGAGATGACCTAGCGTGACCTCAGCGAGGTCACAAGCAAATGGTTTCACATGGGCTGTGATTTGCTGACCCAAGACACTTCAATAACGAAATATAGGAACAATCACGCCCGATTTAGCTGAAAAACAACTACTTTTCGATTCTCCCATTGACTTATAATGGGGAGCAGCGATGACCTGACCTGACCTTAGGTCACATTTATAAAAAATCCGAGATAGCCATTTTGTAGAGCTGGGCGACATCTTCAAGTACTGTAAATTTTACATCGATCGGATAAAAGCTGTGCCTTTGAGAGAGCTTTGAACTTTTTTAGAGGTGGTGTCAGTTTTGGTGACCTTGTGACCTGACCTGACCTGACCCGAACCCCCCAAAAAAGGACATGATGTAAAAATGTTGAATAAACAGCTATACAAAGTTTCAGGGCGCTAACTCAAGTGGTTTCTGAGTTATCGCTGAAAAACCACAGGGGGGGGGGGCAAAATGGCCCCCCCCCACCAGGGCGAAGGTTAAAGTTTCTGTGGTTTTTGGTTTCGGAGATATAAACTTGTTTTTTTCAGGCCTCGTCAATCGTCATGACCCAAATGACCAATGCTCAACATCTTGCGTTGGCTATGGGCCTTGTGAGCATTTGACACCTTGCTTTCGGCCTTTTTTGCCAGTCTTACCTGCCACCTATCATGGAACATGTTGTTCGACGATGTACAGATGTCAAGGTCAGGATCAAGGTCAACCTAGGTCATCTAAAATAATTGCGTTTTAGGCAAGTTGAATTTACTTTTCGTGAAGTTTTTTTACTGCATTTTTGGTAAAAGCTTCTCAGATCATGATTTTATGTAATATGGACACAAAAACACTCGGTGCACACATCAGTATGCACACAGACACACACAGACATACAAACACATATCATTGAGCTTGACCAAACTTGACCTGAAACGACCTCAGCAGCAAAAATCTGGTAGGGTAGTGTGACAAAGAGGTTCTAGCTGGCTTGGCACCAGAAAACGGCATCATCATCGGTATATGATAAGCACCGCACTTGATGTCCAACGGTGACCCAAAACAGCAACATTTTTTAGTGTGACCTGACCTGGATTGTCAATGGCTGACCTGAGAAGGTAAAACTGGGTATCATTGGATTCGTCTCTTTCCAAAGAATCTTTTTGGTGCTTACCGCGAAGCTCTATCTCCAACAGGAACGAAATGGCGCGGGGGTGGCAGCCCCCCCCCCCCATGCGTGTTCTAGGATGGGAAAATGGCATGTGCGGGCGTGGGTTAAACCAAGATCACTTTACTTATAAGGTTAGTTCACTAAAGAATTTTTGCCGCCCAGGTGACGTCACATAATATGGTAGCGATTTGGTAGCCGTTTGCAAATACATAAATGACTTGCGTGAGACATTTATAATGCAAGGTATTGTTCAAGGCCGTATAGGCCGTATATAGGGTATTGTTTGTGGATTTTGCCTTAAAATAGGTAGTGATAATGGGCAAATTTGCGATTTTAGATCGGACTATTGAGGATTCAGACGACTCTAGCTTTATTTATCAGATCGCTTATAATATCACCAGGTTTTCTGTCATTATTCTCCCTTATAGTGTCTGTTCATCAGAGGTTGGTTTGTATCGCACAATGAAATTGAAATGCTGATGAGTGATAAAATTTTTATTCAGCTATGAATATTTTTAAATTTTGGGTTGAGCATGGCCATCAGATATGCAATAATTAGCCCTCATAACAATGCTGCATTGGCTATATTGACAAAGTGATGGTCTGAGCAATGTACACCAATTGCCTCTTTAACAGTTTTTGACATGTTTCAAATTGTAAAATCTAGTAAAATCATGCATTAGAAAAAAATGTGGTAGTCGTTAAGCAAGCCCCACACTTGTTTTTCCAACCAGGAAGAGGCGCTCTACCCAGAGATGCCTGCTAATCAAGTCAAACCAAACCAAACCTAACCAAACCTGGCCTAACCTTACCTACAACCTACAATCTTAACCCTCGCCGGCCGAGGGGGGGGGCGGGTGCCGCCCCCCCATAGGGTTTTTTCGCGATAGCTCCGAACACGCTGGCGATAGAGAGCTGAAACTTGGCATACCTGACCTTTGATCCAAGCCGGATCTTTTGACACCAACCGCATTTTTGGGTCAGGTCAGGTCACTGACCTATGACGTCATAAGTGAACCTCTGCACGGTCTTCAGATGTCGCAACTTCGCAACGCCCTCACTGCCAGAGGAGATGTCACAGGGAAATGAAACTTGCAGGATCTAGTATCCATTATGAGTCCCACAACTTGTATATCTCGGATTTTTCCTAAAGGTCATATGAGGTCAGGTCATTTTCGTGACCTCACCATTATAAGTCAATGGGGAAAAATGAAAACTGCTATTCTGGCGCCGGGAACGATCTCCAACTATCTCAAGCACACAGAATCGTGATTTGGTGCACTCCTTGCAAGGTTAGATGCGTCACTTTTGCAATGTTGACCTTGCGTGACGTCATTTATGACGTCATCAAGGTCATATTAGTTTGTCGTCAATAACTCTTGATCAAATTGAGCTAGCGAGTCGGGAAAGCCACCAATAGACTCAGGAAGACCTGCCGAATCGAATGATATGCGACATGACCTCTTTCGACCAACTTCGTGACCTGGGGGTGCTGACATGACCTTGACCTGAGGTCAACACCCCAAGTTGACCTGACCCGGACAAAAAGTATATCATTCGACGCGCCTGAGCGAGACGAACACGATGCTGCCAAAATCGGCGCTCTGCGGCCGTTTTTTGCGAAGTTATTCACCAAAAACTGAACCGTACCTTGGGGCACTTGACCTGACCTCAGAGGTCACCGGTTGACCTAGGACCTTAAAATCGGGTACCAATCTCTGCGTCTCGTAACGGCGCACACGCTCGTTTTTTTCCGCGACGCGCTAGCTCCACCAGGGGCGAAACGGCGAGGGGGGGTCGTACCCGCCCCCCCCCCCTCGGCCGGCGCGTATGTAGAAAACCAATAGGTCCGGCGAGGGTTAAACCTACAACCTAAAACCTACCACCTTAACCTACCCACCACACTAAATCCGCACTGCACCAAGCCATTAGCCAAATCCGCTCCGCACCATGCCAAATCCGCACCAGCCGAATAAGCCCACACCAACAAGAGCTCGTCAAAGTTACCATATTTGCAGATTGGCTTCTCCAGTACACATTCATTATTCATGGTTTCCATATGACGTTCAATATATCTTTTGCTGGATTATATGAAATTGAAATAGCTGTGCAAAATGTGCCAGACCATGTTTCTAAGTGACTTCAATGATTTAGAAGTTAGAACTTCATCACTCACTGGTCTTCTTATGTAAGGAACTGTGGGCAGCATGGGCACAGTCTAACGTAGCTAATGAACCTGCAGTTCAGCTGCAGCCTTACATTAAGGTTTCCTGAGTGTGCAATATGCATTCAAAAATAGATGTGTTTGGAGTGGACGAAGAAGGTGATGGTTCTTTGTGCTGAAAATGTTTAGTGTTGTATTCATATTTCAGCATAGTTCTTCAACTCAATTACTTGACCCATCCCGGTCACCCATTATCTTAAGAGCACTGCTCAACAAAATGAAAATGATTTTTATGGGTGCTATTAAAGTACGAACATTAAATATCATCAGCTCACAAATATTCTTATGAATCATGTGATGTTTTGTATCTCTAAATGATTTCCATTTCATAAAAGAACATACTCCACCCTTGTAACATTTATTGTACATGCCACCTTGGAAATACATTCATAATGATTCATGTCACTGTAGCACTTGTGCTTGCTCATTTGCGCCTTGCGGCAGCACGACAGTTGCTCACAATGGTCTATGTTAAGGTATTAACCACAAATTATAATAGTAAACAATACTCTACTCAATTAACTAGGTACTTATTGGATGAGAGAAATGTAAAAAATTGACTCAACAAGACCAGTCAACCAGGTCCCTTGCTTTGGTGATCTGTTGATTGTTCTCGTATCAAGTGAACTTCAACATTTTATGATTTAACACATTATTAATATTCACTAGAAATAAATATTTGTGCTAAAAAGACCAATACTGGCATGTTTTGTTCTCTTGAAAGGCATAACACAGCCTTTTTCACACTTCAGCCCATTATCTTGTATTCAAAGTGGCTCAGATACGAGTCTTCAGTTCAAGTTCCTTTGGTAGTGCAGTATGAGGCATACCAAGTTCCAGTGGTATTTTTGAAGCATACTATAGATCACTCGCCAAAACAATGCACCTCATAGAAGTCTTGCTATTGTTAAGTGAATGTTTGCCATTCGATTTGGCCAAAATCATAATAAACTTGCATATTATTGATAGAAAATGGCGTTAGTATCTAACTTTTGCAAAAGCGGCGCAAGACGCATTTGGTAGCACTATTTTTTCCTTCACGAGAAAAAACTTCATCGAAATTTGCAGGCCTCATCTAAAAGGCAAAATTAATGCTTGGTTCATTCGAATTCGACCTATTGAGGCCCGGTTTTGGAAAAATCAAGCCTTACTGAGTCAAATGGTATGCTTTTTATAATACTTCAGCCCTCAACTTGGGCGTCAGCCCAGCTCAAAACTCGGCCTCATTTGTATGGATCGTTATGGGGTGAAGGGATTTTTGCCGCCCACGTGACGTCACGGTAAAGGAATTCTGAGGCTCGTGAACGGGGGCTGGGTTAAACCCCCGATCTGTTTTCGCAGATAGAGTGCGCCGCAAGATTCTCCATACCGTCTGGTGCATCCTTTTGACATATTCTCTGAACATTTCGCGTCCTATCACTTTAGGTCAGGTCAAAAGGTAAACACCTGGAACAATGCCAGGGTAAAATTATACTACTTTTGTTACAGCGAAACACAGTTGTGCTCGACTAAAAAGAAATTGCCGACTCGACTATCATTCAACTTCAGAAAGCCCTGACTCAACTCTGACTCAAACAAGGAACTGATTTTTCCCTTGACTAGACTCATGACTCAAGCGGCTCAATGAAAATATGAGTCGACTCAAACTTGACTCAATTTTTTTTTTGTTGAGTCAAGTGAGTTGACTCAAAATTGACTCAGATAAAAAAGTTGTTGACCGGGGGGGGGGAATAAAAAGCTGTTATGCATAACCCGCGACCTGGTGGGGGGGCTATTTTTTGCCCCCCCCCTTCCAGACTTTTCGATATATCTCCAGAACCGCTGCGCCGATCGTCACTAAACTTTCAGTACCATCCCGGACATCAATTTTACACATTGTGACAAAACATTTTCCCAAAGGCTATGATAGGTTGGCCGGTAATGACGTCAGAGTGACGTCATGTTCTGCCGTTTTCGACCCAAAAAAGGGTTTCGCGGGAAGAGCTGTCAGGCCTATAGCTTTGCAAATACAGAAAAATGATAGACATTAAAGCTGTAGAATCGACAGGGCTACTGCATTAAAAAAAAATGCATTTGCATTTGAGCCTGCAGTGAAGTATGGAAAAGTCAAATAAATATGTGACGCCTCAATCAAAAATGAATTTATCGGTGCTTTTGATAAAGCTATTTTAGATTTACACCGAAAGAGTAGTACCTTGCTTGAAATAATCGTGCTTCTACCTCATGCTGCTTGTCACGGAAAATTTATTTTCTACCGTGGATCTGGTAAAGCACTAATGGCTCTGTCAACCACCACCGGTAAGCCACCAAGGCTTGTGGTAGGTTATCATCACTGTAAGACATCATGGACTGCCACCGATCAGGGTGCAGTCACATTGATCTGTAAAGAGCTGCTGACGGGCCCCGGTAGCTCTGTTTGCCATACACTTCGTCAGGCGTGTGACACATTCATGGCAGCTGGGACCTGACCGATATACTGTGGCAAACGGTGGCGTGCAGATTTTTACCGTGAAACCCACCAAACCCACTCTTTCTCTGGATATGCAGACATTAAAAATCCGACAAATAGTTGCGAAAAGGAAATCGAAAGTCAGGAGCAATTCAATGCATAACGCCTTAATTCCGCTGCATGTTGCTCCCCTACCACCACACGGCAGTTTGTTGGTAGCTCAGTTCTCCGCCCGTCTGTGCCCACTGCACGTGTAGCTGACCACGTGTGCTGCGCCCCCCCACCCGGTGCGGCAGGCGGCCCCTTTGTGCGCCCGCCGGTGTGACGGCCTCCCTCCGGCCCGGAGCAGGCCGGTCAGCTCTGGCGTCACGGCCTGTGACGACCGTCACCGCGGCGGCAGGGGAGCGTCACGGCCCGGCGCCGCGGCCGGTGAATTGGGCCACCCGGCGCCGCCAGACGGGCGGGAGCGCGGGGCAATTACCCACTGCCCACCGCCGCGGGCCCACGATACAGGCCAGTGATAGAGTCGCTGCACCAGTCACACCGGGAGCCATCATTGCCATCAAAACCATCAACACCAGCTGCATGGTCAACCCTGGCCGTCAGCCGGCAACAGCCCGACGTTGTTTGACGAAGACCGGCTCAATTCGGTGCCGTAAAACACGGCGGGGTCAATTAGTCAGCGACAGCGTTGTCAGATTTCTGAATAAGATTTCAATACTCCGATTATCTCATGACTGATGACATGCTGTGAACCGAGACGCATGTAAGCCACCGCGAGGAAAAATAGGACACACCACGGCAAGGAAACGCTCTAAGCACTGTATACCACACGCAACTCAAGTTGGGCGCCAGTAGTTCGGTCCAGGTCTCTGTTACACCCCGAGGGCCGGACTGGGAACAGAGCCGGGCGCGGGACCCTCAGGGATCGCTCGGCCGGGGGCGTCGGGCGCGGCCAGTAGGACAGACAGCCGGCCGGCCGGCGCCCCCCCCCCCCCCCCACACACACAGCCCATGTCACACCGCTGATGGAGTGACTACCGACTCAGCCGCCGCCGCCGCCGCCCCGGGCGCGGCCAGCAGGACAGTCAGCCGGCCGTCCGGCGCCCCACACACCCAGCCCATGTCACACCGCTGATGGAGCGACTACCGACTCAGCCGCCGCCGCCGCCGCCCCGGGCGCGCTCATTACTGTTCATTAATAAAGCCTAATTAATGTCCTCCTCGTCTGCCTATTGTTGGGCAGCTGCGGAATTTAGTATCGGCCTTCTGTTCTCTGTAATTACGGTGACGATAAACAGCGAACGATGGGGAGAGAGCAGGGGCTCCGATAAACTCGTATATCGCCTCCGAGAGGACCGTTCCACCCCCGCCCGATCCACGCCGGCCCTCACCCATTCGACCGGTCGTAACCCACTCCAAAGCACCTTCCCAGTCCTTGAAACACCCCTCCCCGTGCTGAAGGAGCCCCGTCGCTGAGCGGCAGGGGGACGCCGCTAAGGTCATCCATCAAGACCACAGCCAGGTGGGTATATCGGCCGGGCCGGGACGAGGGTCCGACTGACGTCTTTTTGTTGGCGGGCGGGCCGGCGCGGTCGGCCCCAGTGAAAGCAGGGCCGGACGGGTCGGGGTGACTTGGTGCAGTTGACGTCATGTAGAGTGGTTCACCTCGTCAATCAGAGCCGCGAGTGGAGAAGCGCCGACTTGGAGTGCTCGGAAACCGGCGGAGTTTGTGAGGGATTTTGGATCTGAATCTGAAGGAAGGAGAGTGAATGTCCGGTGCCTTATTGGTTGTGGAGGGTTCGGAGCATGCTACGGCATTTGTTGGAATGGAGTCAGGAATAAATAGCATTGTTAGCTAAAGTGTGAGTGCAAACAGAACACCAAAAGAGACAAGACATGGCGACGTCATTTCGAAAATTTTCTTGACCTGAACTTCGAAACAGCAACAGCACAACACAAGCAACAGCCACATTTGGCTATCGATTCTACTCACTCGTGGCAGGACGTTGAAGACGAAGCTTCTAGGGTACCCTCGTCTGAAAGGTAGTGGACGGCCCTCCTCGTTCAGCCGACACCTCGGCCCAGAGACGGCGGTCTGAGGAAACGTCCTCACCCGAGCACCGTGACCACTGGAAGCGCTCGTCGCCGACGCCAGTCCCACTATCTCCTCCAGTTCCGGACCCTCGGACAGTAGAGGCGATGGCACAGCGCGTTAGGCGGCAAAATCGCCCCTAGGCGCAACTCCGCAACAAGAGGACACTGACGCACTAGTCGGCCGCTGCGCGGGGACCACATCCTGGGCGGCTATCTGCAGCGGAGGGGCTGAAAACATGTCAGCCCGGACGGACGGACGGCGCCTCGGCCCCGCACCAGTGTCTCCCGGGCAGACACACTGAAAACATTTTGAACATCGTTAACTGGGTAAGTGGTTATTCTGCATACCGGAGTTTTTATATACCCAATAATGGGTGTTCAGGGAGCGTTTGACACCTTTAACCGTGTATGACAGTCTTCATGACACTGTAATAAGTGTCACAGTATACATTTAAAAGTGTCTGACACTCATCATACACTGCAAAAACACCCCACCCCGTTTTTAAATTTTCTCAGTGCAATATACGATAATACTAAACAATGTTTCATGGCTGCGACAACTGAGCTACATGCAAAACAGCTATCGCAACGCGACCCAAATCGTAGCCACATGAGACTCAAGAAAGGCACGAAAACTCGCCAATTAGGACCTCAAATGCTTTCATTTGACCGCCTATATCACAGAACGGATATTACACACAGGACGGCCGGAACAGCCAAATGTGGTGAGGGAAACGACTAAGGAAACCGCCGTCTCCGGGATGCACTCACATAGATCTCTAACGATTTGAATGAAATCGTTCCTTTCAAAGACTGAGTCAAGCTTTGAAGTTACACTGAAAAATAATAATGCCTGTGGGGAATTTTTGGGGTATCGGACACCGTTATGACACCCGTGAGGGTGTACGTTCTGCTAACATATATCTCACAGATCTTTATATAACTCCTAATAAGCATTCTTAGGGTATATTTGGAGTGTCAGATACCCCAAAAACACCCATGCAAAGTGTCAACTTCATTACAACAACCCGCGCCCTGCTGGGGGGTGTTTGAACACCCCCCCTTGTGGTTTTTCGCGAATATCTCAAAAACGGCGGCGCGGAGCGCCGCCGTTTTTGGTACACCTTATTATACATCAATTCTACACATGTTGTGAAAATTTCAGACCAAGGTCATTCAAGGTCAGGTCACCAGGTCACTTGAAGTGACCTCACCTCATAAAAAGTTTCAATGTCTGTCATAGCTACACCGAGTGACCGATCGCTTTGAAACTTTCAGCGATTGCTAAGAGCAATAGCATGTACAAAATGTATATCTCAGAATTTTTATATCGATGACCTAAGGTCAGGTCAATTTTGCGATCTCCCCATTATAAGTCAATGGGAGAAAATTGAAATGCGCCTCTTTTGGACGAAAGACATTTTAAACACTCCCAAACACCGAATTACAAGTAGTTTAGACAAACTGAACATGAAAATGGTGTCCGTGACCCTTGTTTATGCCCTGAGGTCATCTTAGGTCACGAATGGTATCTAACAGTTTTTCGCAAATAACTTTTGATAGAGGCATGCTAGAGCGATGAAAACGCCTTAGATGTGTTCAGCTCGACGATACGGATCGACTGATATGCAACATGACCCTTTCCGGTCAGGTCATGACCTTGACCTGAGGTCAAATTTTCAAGTTGACCTTTCAAAGTCAAGTTATAGTTCATTCGATGCGTCTTGACGAGAGGAACACGATGCCGGTAAAAGTAAGCTCGTACAGGGCTTGAGTCAAAAGTTATTGCAGAAAAACTGTTTCCGAAAAAATCGGCTATTTTTGCAGTTTTTGCCCCCTGCAGGCAAAACCGTTGACGTTAGGTCAAATCTGAGAGAATCACTCAGAAAGGGCGTTAATAGGGCTATCGAATGCGCTTTTCTGCGGCGCTGTAGCCAGGGTTGTGCTCGACTCAAAAAAATTTGCCGACTCGACTCATCATTCAACTTCAGAATGCCCTGACTCAACTCTGACTCAAACAAGGAGCTGATTTGTTCCCTTGACTCGACTCATGACTCAAGCGGTTCAATGAAAATATGAGTTGACTCAAACTTGACTCAATTTTTTTGCTGAGTCAAGTGTGTTGACTCAAAATTGACTCAGATAAAAAAGTTGTTGAGCGGGGGGGGGGGTGTGAAAACATCCGGCAGCCGGGCCAGGCCTAAGTTGTTAAGCGGGGGGAGAATGAAAAACTTATACTATATATTGTTTCTAGAAAGTTGAGTCAGCTGACTCATGTTCCTAAATGTTTTTGACTCAACTCAATGTCAAAAGTTATTTTACTGACTCAACTCTGACTCAACTCAACACCTTAATATTTTTATCCGACTCAACTCTGACTCAACTCAACAGCTCAACATTTTATCCGACTCAACTCAAATCTGACTCATTTGAGTCAGAGTTGAGTCAAATTTCTGACTCGACTCATGAGTCAAGCACAACCCTGGCTGTAGCTCTATTGGTTCCCGAGTTATGCGTTGGCTTCTTGGAAATTTTCGACATTCGACCTGGAAATCGGCGAAATTTTACCTTCAATGACCTCTGGTGACCTGACCTTTGACCTGACCAAAAAATTGACTGAAGTGATTTCGTCATTATTTTTGACGCTCTTTCGAACGCCGCCTGCCACGTATCGCTACGTGGCCCAGGAGCCGAGTTACGAGGGGGGGTGTTCAAACACCCCCCCCCCCAGCAGGACGTGGAAATCCAGGACCCCCAGCCGGGCGCGGGTTAAAGGGAGTTTGTGAGGTGTACAAAACTAAGCCAACACCTTTAAGAGTGTCAGTTTGATATTTGACACCTACATAATGCCAGCATTACTCCCCACAATAATTTTACATGTATCTGGAAGGTGTAGAAAAATCCCATTTGCAGATTTCAACAGTGTTTTAGGGGTGATAAACACCGTTCATATTACCATCGTACTCCCTTGACGACTTTTTGAGGAATATCCCTCGCCCTGGCAGGGCATTTTTCATAACACGGCCTGACAGGGGGGGGTCGATGAGACCCCCCCTCGCGATTGGCTCCTATGGCATCTAGAAACACCAAATTTGGTATTTAGGTGGGCCCCCTAGAGTTCTCGCCCCTGTGCAAATTTGGTTGCTCTAGGTCAATATTTAGGGGGTTTGGGAGTATAAATGTCAAAATTTCGCTAAAACAGGTCAAAAGTTTTTCGCCTATAACTTTTGATCTAATTAAGATAAAGCAAAAAAAGCACCAGTGAACTCAGCACGTCAAGGCGCGTCAAATGATGTAATTTTAAGCTTGCTTAATTGTACTTAAAGTTTTTCTTAATTTTTAAGTAAACTTTAATTAATCAATTAAGTTAATGTTAACCAAATTGCATCATATCGCATACCATTCGATTTGGCTGATCAGCAGGAACACAATGACACCATTTTTTAAGCTCTAGCGTCATTATGTGCCAAGTTATTGGCAAAAACGTCATTTGACCTCAGTTGACCTCATTTGACCTGACCCATGGATAAGTACACCAAAGAAGCATCAAGTGACCTGCTGTTAAGTACTGTGGTTTTAAAGCACAAAAGTGATAGAACGAAGCGGATATCTCCAGTATTTTCCGAATTTAGTATTTTCCCATAGGCTTAACATTACGACGTAATGACCTCTAACTGACCTCAGGTCAGTGACCTAAAAAAAAGAGCTATATGTTATACAACTCGGTGAACTTAGCACATCCTGAAAGTTTGAAGGAAATCAGTCAAAAACTGTGAGTTGGACAGCTGCAAAAAGAAAATTGAAATTTGACCATAACCTTGTACCGGTTTTTCTGACCTGGTGACCTGACCCAAGGTCACCCGGACCTGAAATTTTCAGGTGATATGTAAAAAGGCTGCCCCATAGGCTGTGCCAAATTTGGCGGCGCTGCGCGCCGCCGTTTTTACGCTATCTTCGAAAAACCTTAGGGGGTCGCATCGACCCCCTGCCAGGGCGAGGAATATGCTAGGTGTAAATCGCTTGATAACCAGACTTGTAAGCGATTCAACTCTGATTGAATCGATTCTTATGAATCGCTTGAAAATGCCGACTCACTGTGATTGAGTCGGTTGAATCACCGCTTGTCACCATATGAGTTGTGATTGAATCGGTCACACATGGCAACTACAAGTGATTGAGTCGGCAACTCATGTATTCAAGTTGATTGAATCAACAAAATGATTCAATCAGCATGTACTGAAAATTGAAGCTATGACCATATTTAGTGCTACATTATGTAGAAATATATGTGGCATTTGCATCATAGACACACACAATGCACTGCAACATTTTGAGGTATTTTGTCAGTATTATAAATGCGCACCGCTATCATAATTGAAAAAAAAAACATAAAAATTTTGTTTAACCCGCGCACCGACGGGGGGGGGCGGATATCCGCCCCCCTGAGGTTTTTCGCGAATAGCGGGAAAACCGCGGCGCGTAGCGCCGCGAAATTTGGTATGACTATTTCCTTATCAATTTTACACATGGTGTGCAAGTTTGAACCTCCTAACTTTCAAGGTCAGGTCACCAGGTCACTTTGAATGACCCAACCTCAAGTCACTTTTTTGCAACTTTGTCACCGTGCCAGAGCTACAGTAGATGTCGGAGGCCTTTGAAAGTCGCAGGATGTTATTAGGTCATTAGTAGCTACAATTTGTATATCTCGGAATTTTGATATCGGTGACCTAAGGTCAGGTCAATTTCGCGACCTCCCCATTATAAGTCAATGGGGGAAAAATCAACTCCCTGTTTTTACCACTAAAACGGGTCGGAATGGCCCCATATACCATACATGACTTCATATACGATCAACCTTCAGTACCTTGAGGTCTGTTTTGCTGTTGGGCAGCTGTGAGGTCATGTGACGTCATCAAAGGTCACCAAAGGTTTTTGGCCAATAACTCCGTACAGGAACAAGATACAGACGCGTGGATGGTCTCATTGTGTTCAGCTCGTCAAGACGCATCGAATGATTTACATGATGACCTCGAGGTCACGTGACCTGAGGTCAACCTTTGACCTTGACCTTTCGAGGTCAACATATATATCATTCGATGCGGATTGACGAGAGGATCACGATGATGCCCTTAGTTTGTTCCTATCTTGACTAATTCGAAAGTTATTTGAGAAAAACTCTCTCCATATTTAGCGCCGCCATTTTGACTTTTTCGACTCCTGTGACGTCATCTTTG